TATTCTTAAATCTTTATTTCGCCTGGCAACGACTATAATAATTTTAACTTTGATCCTTAGAAATTCTAATCTAAGAATAAATAAATATTATGGATTTATAATCGATACACATGCCAATTTTTTTTTACTTTTACCGGTTTTTCTTAAACAAATCAGTAATAATGACATCAACATACAAATGTTGGTTTAACCCAGGGCCGTATTTAACGTGGGCCAGCGGGACAAGGTCCCGGGGCCTCTGATGCACCAATGTCAATTTTTTGATATAACTTGTCACTTCTTATTTATTTTACGGAAAATGTATAATTTTTACCTATATATAGTAGGTATACCTACGCTTTTACCGCAGTAAAAGTTTTAAATGAAGACTCTTAACGTGAAAATTTATGACCTCCACCTTCTGATAAGAAATTATAAAATGTATTAAATAGCTATTTTCACACTTTATTAAGATTATTTTTAGAAATAATTAAATTTTATATCTTAATGTAGGCGTAAACAATCAAAAAATGTTAAATTTAATATAATAATTCAATGTAGGAGTTCTTTGATTTGATAGACGTTGTAAGTGCAGGAAAATTAGTCAATTTATTATGACACGCGTCATTTCTAATTGAAATATTAGCATAACATGTATTAATTTATTATATCAGTTTTATAGGGAATCTTTATTACTTTATAGTATAGGTCTATACTAGGGTGCTTCAAAAAATAAAATTTAATTTTCTTTTTCGCTCTTACCCTCTCAAATGTTTCTATTTAATATAAAAAAAATACTCACCAAATATGGGCGTTCCAGCTCAACTCTAAGAGGTCGCGGTTTTTATTTTAGTTTCCCATTTAATTAACATGGGAAAAAATAATTTTATGTTTGGAATTTTATACCTCTGTATCAAAGTAACTTATGGCAATGATCATTGCAGTTTCTTATATAAAATGTATCGCTCTACCAAAAAGGTCTCCTATTATTTTTCGATAAATTGATTTCTTGTAGAGTTAAGTTTGATTAACATCAAATTTTCTGGTTTTTTTAATTGTATGGTACGGGAGGTAAAAGGGGGCAAAACAATGCAGCGGGGAGGAAAAATGGGGTACCCAAAAAATTTCGTAAATTTTTTTTTTATTGTTTTTTTCGGTTTCTAAATTATTTAAAAATTGACTCACAAGTTCACGCATTTAATCGAAAATAATTATTCTGAGCCTGTAGAGCGAGAAAAAGGATAGTACAATTTTGGAAAGCTTTTCATATGCTCATTTTTTGGGTACCCCCATTTTGCCCCCCCCCCGCTGCCCCCTTTCACCTCCTGTCTGATACCATAAAATTAAACGTAACCCCTAAAGTCGTGATGATTTAAAGATTTTAATAATTATTATTTATTAATAAATGTTTATGCCCAACATTCCATCCAATAGAAAAAAAATTTTATCACCGTTTTTTAAAACATTTTTTAACCCCTTTATTAAATCCTTGTTTTAAAATTGTTACGATTAACATTTTTAAAAGTACAAAAAAATTTTCTTAATTAAAAGTGTAAAAAAAATTAGAATTGTTAATTTTGGCGCAATAACGTAGAGCTATATATACAGGGTGTTTCAGAATAAGATGCTGAACCTTTAAGGTGTGAATCCTTAGTTGATTTTAAGAAAAAAAGTTCAAATAAACCTCTTAATTTTTGAGTTACAGGGTGTTAAAGTTTTAAGAAAAAATGGTTTTTTTATTATAACTTTAATAACTTCCTAGATATTTTTAAAAAATTTGGCACACGCCTTCTAAGTAATAACAGTAAGTTTTTGATGTAGAAGATTTTTTATTTTTTTACCAGTGGCGTCCGTACAGGATGTGGTCTAGATATTTTTGGAAAAATATTATGCTCGCCACTGCTATTTTTTAAAATAAAAATTATTTTTTAAATCCCCATTCATTTTAGGGCAAATTTGATTACTTGACCATTTTTCGTACGACTAACGGTTTTCGATGAAAAAAATAAAAAGCATTTAATGCCATAATTAAATAAACATTAAAATTAAATTTAATTATAAAATAATTTTAAAAGAAGTAACATTAAATAACGTAAACAAAAATAATTTAGATTACCTGTTGAAAGTGGCCACCACCTGCCAGTATGCATGCTTCAGCTCTTCTCCTCATTGAGTTTCGTACCCTTAGAAAAATTCCTGGAGTATTTCCGAGAGTATTTCTGATAGTGTCACAACTATTATGCGCTTTCTCAACTCCTCCTCAGTATTTATTGGGGTGCTGTAAACCCACGCCTTAAGATGTCCCCATAGGAAAAAAAACTAGACTGTTTAGGTCTGGCGATCTAGACAACATCCTGTACGGACGCCACTGGTAAAAGAAATAAAACTTCTACATCAAAAACTTACTATTAATGCTTAGAAGCCGTATGCCAAATTTTATAAAAATATCTAGGAAGTTATTAAAGTTATAATAAAAAAACGTTTTTTTTCTTAAAACTTTAACACCCTGTAACTCAATTTAGGTCATAGGTTTATTTGAACTTTTTTTCTTAAAATCAACTATATATATATCAACCTTAAGGGTGTGAATCCTTATAAGGATTCACACCCTTAAGGTTCAGCATCTTATTCTGAAACACTCTGTATATAGCTACATATATATTTTAAATATTCCCCAATAGTTTTCAATTAAAAAAATTATTTTATGGCTTCGCATTTATTTATATCTATAGGTAGGTATTTCTATAGGTGGGTATTTCTCTTGGTGTTTTTCACCTTAATATCCCAGGTTTTACCTTAAATTTAAAATTTTGTTTGGTCTAGTTACCTAATTTAAAATCGGTTAATAAATATGTAGGTAGTTGAGAAAATTAAGTTTTAATTAAGTTCGCCATAAATGAACTCGTATATTACTTTTTTATACTGTTAGACAAAAGACAACTAGCGCTGTCTTATTAAGTTAGGTTTGAAAGATGTCAAATGTTTTAATTTTGTTATCATGATGCATGGCTCTCTTATGGGGAAGATACAATATTTATTTTTTCAGCTAATTTATTAAGAGATATTTAATCGAAAAAAGGAACCGCGACGCAGTATAGAACACCGCAAATTTATTCTTTTACGTACCAGAGATTAGTTTTTAATTGCTTTGTACTTCCCTTTTAGTAACGCTCTTTTGACTATCCTACAGACTGTTCCTCATAAAATTTGCCCCCCCTTCGAAACTAAAAAGTTCCATTAACAATCCTAAAACACGTCAATTTCTACGACAGGGGGACTACTTTTGACATTAAATTTACTCCCAAAGCGGGAAAGCAACTCCTTCAGGTATCTTAAATAGCATAAGGAAAGCGCATTCAATTTTGAATTCAACGGTTAGCTTTGTTTAATTTCAGTTGATTGGCAGCAGAGAAATTATATTTTAAACATTTGAAGAAAGAAAAATAAAAAAGGTTCAACAAAAAATATCTTAGCGAATGAGCTGCTCAAAATGGCCTCCACCGACCTCCATACAGTAGTCCCCCCTGTCGTAGAAATTGACGTGTTTTAGGAATGTATATGACACCTTTTAGTTCAAAAGTTTCGGGAGAGAGCAAATTTTATTTCGAACAGGGTATGTGTATATACATATACACATACCCTGTTCGACATAAAATTTGTACATGTACATAATAAAGAAGTAGCGTATCTGAAGATTTGTGTTATGCACATACGCCAAATAGGTACATATAGACAGATTAAATTAAGTTAATATTAAATTAAATTAGTATTAAAATCCGATAGACTACATAACTCTTGGAGTAAAGATGGTCTATATATGTATAGAATTACCTTCATCAGATTAAAGTTAAAATATTAGGTTTCCAATTAACCAATTCAATATGGTTTACATTATGCTTTAAGTTGCAATTTAACAAGCTATTGTTATCTATAAAGAAATTCATTGTTGAAGATTTACTATAATACAAAGTATTTACAAACTTGTCCCCGGACAATTTAGAAAATTTTAAGGGATTTTACACCAAAGAAATATTACACCTAATTTAATTTGTTTTGATTTTTAATGGTTTTTATACGTTTTACGGTGTAATTTCTTCCTTAAGTCCTAATTTTATTTTTTTATTTATTTTATAAATTCCGTATACAAATTTCCCACAATTTTATTCTTCATTGACATATGAGGAGCATCCGTGCAAAACCGGCTAAATCCATTTTATTCAGTTTTTGTTTTTTTTCTGATTTCGCATCTTTGGGTTCATTTCTATCGACAACCAAGATAATTCTGTTTAAATCCGACTATATCCATGTTAAAATCACATTTAAAAGGTAACTTTAGGAGAAAAACCGGCCAAATCCACGTTTTTATAGCAAACCCGGCTATATCCAATAAATAATAATGATGATGAGCATGTAGCTTGGATATGTCGATACTACTACCAAAATTTGTTCTGTTTTTTCATGTTTGCACTAAATTTATTTTGTTAATATTTTTGAATAATAAAGGTTTTTTTTCACATTTTATTCGGTTTTTGAGCAAAACCGGCTATATACAAAACATTTTTTGAAATAATATAAAGCTTTTGAAAACGAAAGTATGTCTTATAAATCAAGTACCACAAAGCCAACAAAACGCAAGTTTGCTTTTTTTTATCTGTAAAGGCCAGGAAACCGAGAGTGTTTGCCATTTTCCCAACATTTTATTAAAGTGGATATGGCCGGTTTTGCACGGATGCTCCTCATATGTACCTAAATTATAAACCCTTGCATAAACAAAGTTGAAACTTATAATAAACAACAGTTTAATCCTAATTTAATGTTTAATAAATACTTTGTAGGTAGTTTTTAATCGATATTTTAATAATACCTACCCTAAATAAAAGTCTCGATGAACCATAGTAACCTAATACATGTAATCCGATACCACATTGGCAACAAAAAACGTATATAAAACGAAAATAGTTTATTCCTCGACATTTAAAGATTTTTCCAAGTATAACTCGAACTGTTTTATTGTAGGTGAAATGATAGTGGAGTTGAAATGGCAAACATTTTTTCTGATAGTATTATTTCAAGCTGTTATCAGTGCACAACCCATCACCACGACAACGGGGAGCACAGTTTTGGAACCTTTGGGTACCACTAGTGGAGATTCAGAGTTGCTAACAAGCAAGCAAAAATTGTGCGGGGATGCCGTGCACAAGATAATGCAGGAAATATGTGCTTTACATAATGCTCCCAGTAAGTATTAATTTATCTGTAAAATAGAAATTTATATTTACGTGTATTTTATTTGAAATTATTAAAATTTTATTTTAACGAAGAATGCATGTAATTTGCTACTAATATATTTTATAATTTATTGGCCAATTATTTTTTTTTGAAAATAAACAATAAATTGTGAAAGTTTCCATCATTATCATAAGTACATAATTTGGAAATTGTTTTTATAACAAAAATTTTCTAAAATTTCAGTTTTTTCTTTTTGCTTTTTCAAATTTAAATGGTCAAAAATAATAACGATCACACAATTTTAATTTTTTTAAATTAGGTATTGAAATTTACTATTTTTTTTTAAAAACATTAAATTTTTTTGGAAATATTTTTAATAATTTTTTAACTTAAATTAAATAAAAAACTGCCTAGAAAAGCACTTTTCATATTAAAATTTAACCCATTAACTCGATTATCTTTTTAGTTTTAAGAAAAAGGCGTGAAATTGCAAAAGACTGCTGTCCAAGTGAAAACAGAAATAACGTTGGTTGTTCCATTCAATATTTAGCTACATACTACTGCCAAATCGTCAATAAGTAAGCATAACCGGCATAAAACTAATAATTTTTACCATTTTAATTTGTTTTATAGAGACGGAGTAAAGAAAGTCATCGACCAAATGAAAAAAAAAACGACATCAACAAAATGAAATTTTACCTCAAAACCAATTAGCAAACCCCCAAAATTTAATAATTAAAAACCATAATGTAAGGCTTAAAAACAAAATATTATCACGCCGTTATCGTCAGAGGATGTTAATGAATCATGAATCATCATCACTTCATTACAATAAACATGAAAAACCTCAAAAGCAAAGGGGAAAGCGAAACTGCACTTGTAAAAAGGTGCGAATACATAAAAATAACATAACATTTTCGACTAACAAACATTCTATATTCTATCTTGTTTTTAATATATGTCTACAAACATTTATATTTATTTATTGTTTTAGTTTATCAAATCCTTTAAACCTGCTTCAGGAGGCGAAGTTGGGATGATAGAGGAAGACGGCGATGCCTTCTACGTTTTCAATAGTGGAAACGATATTAAATAACATATATGTGATACAAACCTTTCTACCAGTGATAATGACTAAAAAATAGTATTAGTAATAGTAGAACCAAAGTTACCACCCAGCGGATTTTCTTGTGATTGAACTAGATCTCTACACCTTTTATGTATTTATTTCTTTATTTAAGTTTACACAATAAACGAAAATATTTTTTTAAGTGCGACTTTATCTATTTGTCCTGGAAACAGTGTATACTTTACATTACAGAGGGGAAAGTGGGGTAATAAGGGTATAATTTGGTGTTTTTACAACTGCATTAATTCATTGGTATTTTATTATTACTTTCAGAATATATTACAGGTGTATTAGATACAATTCTGTTGTGACTTACAACTTGTGATAAGTTAAAGTGCTTTATAAATTTATCATTAAAATATTTATATAATTTAATTATAAGATATGTTATAAAACAGCATACTACATAATAAAGAATTTTCGTTAATTTCGTTTTAAATTGTAATTCAAATTTTACATGGAAAAATTAACAATTAAAAAAAAAAATTATATAGAAATAAAATATTAATAAAAATATGCACTTCAAATGTTTTTAAATAAATAAATATTGGATCGGTATGAAGATAAATAAATAATGGATAAATTATTTTATAGATTTAAGTATATATCGAACATCAATCGATACTCTTATTGATGCTCTCTAAAAATGAATTGTCATAGCGAAAAAGCAGCCACTAATAATTCTCGTCAATAGTAATTGTATTCCGAACACTTAGAAGTCAATTTTCATGTAAAATTGTCTCCTGAATCCAAAAATGTCAAAAGTTAAAAAAGTAGAACAGTCATTTTTCCATTTAATATGGATCTCAAAAACTGCTCTACTTTCAAGTTTTGACGGCTGTTAAATTTGGGGATACCATGGTATCCCATAGTACAAGTGAAAAAGCATCCCATAATAACTGTAGTAATTAGTCATTTTTGACTAATTAATTTTTAGAGAGTGGAACTTTGGTTTTCTAAGTTATTATTAATGTGAATTAGTCTTCTTAATAACGCATTTACGCGTCATTTAAGTGGAAAGGACACAAAACAGAACCTTTGACCAAACTGTAGATACATTAATTAGGGCCTCCTTTAAGTAAATTTGTCCCGGATCCCGCAAGATCTCTGGGCATACAAAAACATGTTTTATAAAACCTAGGTTGTTTTTTGTCGTGTTTTAGTGTAAAATTTTAGAAAAAAAGTATATAGTTTATTTTGATGATAAATCATAAACATTTATGTTTAAACCAGGGACTTGTAACATAACCTTTGTCTAGAGACAAAACTCCGTTTCTGTCGTTATCGTTCCAAGTAACATATATGTATACATACCTAGAAATATTAAAACATAATTAAAAACGGAAGGTTAAAAATCGTTTCGAACAAGTAACAGAAAATTAACGAAATTTTAGGGAGTACAACTGCTGGGAATCTAATCAAAACCGAAACACCGGGTATGGAAACAAAACCAGAAACGCCACCTGAACAACGAAATCTTAACGAAACATCTCTTTACAGATTCGAAACGTTTCTCGATCAGAATGAAAACAATAATATAGTAAATTAATAATTTTACCAACTCACTAAAATAAACAATTTGTAATTTTTATTACGTAATTAAATAAAACAGCGAACTCAGGTACTATACTTAACAGGTATACCTATACCTATACTTAAAGGGTACTTAAGGGTACTTAACAAAATGACAGCTTGATAACTGCTAGACAGATCACGAAGGTTTCACATTGTGTTGTGGAGCATTTTGTTAAAACTTTTGAAAATGTTAACGTTTTGTTACTGTTACTGGTTTCGTTTTAATATCCTGTGTTTCTGTAGTAGTTGCCCTCCTGGGATTTCGTTATGAACAGTTTTGATAGCAATTTTGTTTCCGCTGATACCGTTACCAAGATTTTGTTACTCGTTTTACCAATACCAATAAGTACCGTTTCTCAAAGTTTCGTTATCATTTTTTTGAGGCGCATGTCTTGATACAGTTTTGTTTTAATCCTTACATGAACAAACGCATTACAAGTCGACCCTGGTTTAAACCTAGGTAATGTGTAGCCCAGTGATGCCATATTAAATAGTTACATTTACCATAGAATAAAACAGAACTGTCATATTATTGCTTCTAAATATCTGCCATTAACACGTTACTTTTGCATTAGTGCCAATTTTTTTTAGTAGAAATTTTGGGCCGCCACTGACCTACGACAACTGACGCAAAATATGCTTGCACAGTGGGCAATAATCATCATTAAAAATTTGCATTTGAGTTATCATTGATTACTTTGTAAATAATGTTTTTTTATTTTGTATACTCAGCTATTTCAAGGTACTTTGAATAAATTTTTTTTATTGCTAGGTATCTCGAGATTATTGCAGTTTTCCCGTCGATTTTAAATTTCATCTTTTACTTTTTACGTCGATTTATGCTCATGTAGCTATTTTTTTTTTAAGTATTCCACAAAATAATAACCGAACTGTCAGTAATCAATTATAACAAAGTACCTACTAACCGATTTTGAATAAGTTTAAAAGTTTGCTTGATATTACATAAATCCAAGTTTTTAATAAATGTCGCCCACCTGTTTATTTTTTGCTTGGTTAAATAATATCATTGTTTTAAGAGGTAAAAACAATGATGATATATAGAATAGGCCAGTGGGTCCCTGGTTTTGTCAAAAACTTTTTATATTTTGGCTTGTACTATTATCCCCCCCAGTATAACAATTTATTAGGTAACACCCTGTATTTAAAAGTGAAAAAAAATTTTTAAATAACTTTATTTTTTTACTTATTTGTGCAGTATACGGGGCCCAATATATTCACATTTTTTAAGTTTATAGCTAGCTATAAACTGAAAAAATGTATTTTTTATTTATGTTTTTTTAAATAAGCCCCTATCAATTCATAAAAAACAGTTTGGCCTTTGCACGCAAGGCCAAACGTCGCGACGCACAGTGGGCTGGAGAGCCAATTTATCGCGCAGAAATTATTTGGTTAAGTAATTCTTAGTTAATATTAATTTTTTTGGTCTTATTGATGAAATTTTAATAAAAATTACTTTCTACTACCAATGGAAAAACAAAACCACAATATAATACCTTAACAACAAAAGTATATTTGTGTGGCAAAATTAAGATGTATAGTTTTAATGAGTAAATTAAAAAAATATAACTGAACATTTATAAAATAAAACCTAATTGTTACGTATGACAGTATTTTATACAATAATATTACTTCTGGAATTTCAGCGTTTTTCTATATTTTTTGAAAAAATTTTGAATTAAGTTTTTTCCGAGATCCATTTATTTTTGTAAATGCATAGTCTACTAAGTAATTTAAAACCAACTTTCTATTAAAATGCTTTAAACAAAAAATATTCGTGGCGCCTACTAGCACTTGATTTTAGATTTATTTAAAAGACAGAATAGTAAGCTATTAAAAACTCTTAACAGAGTTTGTGAGAATGCGTGACATTTTTTAAAACGTTAGTATTGTTCATACATACATAAAAAATATGCAGCGCTTTCTTTATTGACGTAGGGACAGTACAATAATTATAAAAACTTACCATTATTTGTTCCAGCCATACAATGATGGTCAAAAATTAAAAATAAATTAGGAATTAACATTGTAAGAGAATCAAAACCTTCACCCGCAATTTACCAACACAAAGCAAGTAATTATAATTCTTAAACTTTGACTGGATACCTGATAAAAACTTAACAGATTTGAAGGTGATATAACATTATTTGATTTGCTACAGATATTAAAGAATTCAAAATTTACTAAATTTTGTCGAAATAAATCACTTACTCATTTTAAATTTACGCGCGCTGGAAGCGCTCTCTAGCCTACCGCGGTGGTGGCAAAAACTATTAATATTCACTAATAGTTATCAGTAATTAATTCAAAATTATTTATTGTTATTAGTAGCTTTTTAATTGATGGTTTCCATCACCAATGTATGACAATATTTAATACAATGATATTTGTTCTGGGCTTCCAGCGTTTTTCCATATTAAAAAAAAATTGAATTAATTTTTTTTTTTTGAGATACATCCATTTTTGTAAATGCGTAGTCTACTAAGTAATTTAAAACTAATTTTATATTGAAATGCTTTAAACTAAAACACTTTTCACAAAGCTCCGTAAGAGTTAGGGATAATGTATTAACTGAAAAAAATAAACAAACCATATTTCTTGCGCCTACTAGCACTTGATTTAAGATTTATTTGAAAGACAGAACGGTAAGCTATTAAAAAAACCTAAACACAGAGTGTGACAGTGAGTGACATTATTTAAAACCTTAATAATGTCCAAACATACATTAAAAGTATGCAGCGGTTACTTTATTAAGGGAGTGACAGTACAATAATAATAAAAACTAACCATTATTCGTTCAAGCCATAACGTATGACAATATTTAATACAATTATAGTCAAAAAGTAATAATAAACATTGTAAGAGAAGCAATACCTTTACGCGCAATTTATCAACACGAAGCAAGTAATTATAATTCCTAAACTTTGACTGGTTCAACAGATTTGAAGGTGATTTAAAGATGTTTCATTATAGAAGAATTCAAAATTCTCTAAATTTGGTCGAAATAAAACACTTACTTATTTTGAATTTCTTCGCGCTGGAAGC